TTTGAAGAAACATCGATTACTTTTTGGGATATGTACCTAATTTCGGCACTGTTGCGCTATCAAAGTATTAATTTTCTTTCACGTTTTGCCACTAAACTCTTTCAGCCATCTCTTGAAACTGTTGCTACGCCAATTTCCATGAAGAGTAACGCCCATTCAATCAATCGCACTATGGATAATGTAATTAGTATAGGCAAAAAGCGACAAAAATCGCTAGCACGAGGCTCAACCACCCAAAAATTGCATTGAGCTCCGAAAATGGAATAATGCCTGCAATTTTCACTCATACGACCACTCAGTGTCTCGACTCCTGGCCCAGCGCGAGGTCTGTTCACCCGGCTGACCTGGCCTAGTGCCTCGGGACACAACAAAGACCCCGGCAGGGACGCCGCTGGCAACTTGCCAGGAGCGTCTGTGTGTGATATACAGTGTACCTACCCCGGCCAGTTTGGCACGAAAAGATGCAGTGACGACATCATGACAGCAGGAGCGGGGCCCAGATTTAAAATCAGCGTTGTCGTGTCTTGTGGTGGAAATGACTTTTGAAAACTCATTTTTAGAATAGATGCATGCTATATTTTGCAAAAGACAGCAATTGTATCAATAGTCAGTGATTGAGTTTGACCAGCGGTGACCCTACTCGGGTCCATGTGCGCAGTAGCTAACCATTTGAGTTGCATAGTTTTTCCGAAATGACTTGCACCATGCATGAATGTATGTCCTGTACTCATTTCTCAATCAAAAACATGAAAAATAAGATATAAATCGGAGCTTTCTTACGCCACAATTGTACTGCGCAATACGCATTTATTACGGAATTAATAACGAAATGAATATCGAATAAGAATTTTCATATACAGCATGTACAATGCAAGTGCGTACCTAGCTTGGTTATGCACATATGTATGCATTCAGTCAGAACATTTATGCGCAAGTTAAGTGGTCTGAAGAGTGACCCCTCGGACCCAATAAGTCACGCTGAATGCTAGGTTTGAGCAATAGGATTAAACTCAATTTGACATTTTCCGGGACTTCTTGTTTGCTCTGCTTCTGAGGTACAGCCTATTCTGCACCACGGTCTATTTTGACACTCAACAAAGAGACAATAATTAAGGGGCAGGCACTTCGCCATGATGCTAAGACAAAGAGTCACGAAAGTGACAATGAACGAACGAGTTGTGGATGGATGAGTCTCTGTATCGTCACAATAACTTGTGTCAGAAATGCCTTAGGCTTCGGCGCGCATACTATCGTGGTGTCTTTAGCTTGGCTTTGGGTAAACATTATCGAATCGCTTATCCACAAGCTTCAGGAAACGAACTCAAAATGCAACTGCCAGCACTGAAGTTTCATTTATTTGGCGTCGCTGTCGCTGTGAAGCTCTGCCAAAACTCTCTCGGTAGCTGTTTAGGCCTGTGCACTCCCTATGGGGCGCCGTCTCAGCGCTGACGGCGAGCCATGCCTGCCAAAATCTCCAGCAGGACTCCACCGAGTGGCAGCCTGCCATGAAACCAGGAGGGGCCCCTGCCATGAAACCGGGAGGGGTTATATTCGTACAACCCGGGGGTGTTGATTTTGGCTAGCATTTAGCCCATTTATTTGTGGATTCAGGATTGTAGGTGGAATGATACCGACAGGGCCGCCAAATTGCTTGAGCAGGAGCTGGCTGCACTCATGTTCGGATCTCTGTTACCTGACGTCTTACGGCTTGTTCTAAAGCTTAAGTATTTTTAGAGGGTCATCTGACTCATTTGTCCCAGGACTCATCCTTCCATGCAAATGCGAGTCAATTCAGGCTGCTGACTGCCTTGCCGGCATAGTCTCAATTTTCGTTTTTACGACAGTCAACTGGTACACATTTGGTGCAGATTAGGTGCAGATTTGGTCAACTTAGGTGCATTCGCCAGATAGCCCGTCGTGAAAGCGGCTAATAAGAGCTAAACTACACAAATGGCTGATATATATGAGGAGTGTCGATTTCTGGTTTGTCTACAGAAAATGTACTTTGGCTTAGCCGTGCTGGGACGTACCCTGCCCTATCCTATACTGTATCAAATTCCATACCCATGCCATATTCCATACCTACCCATTCCATACACCCAGCGTGCACGTCAAAGCATGCTTTGACGTGCTGGAACGCGCTCCATCATATCTTGCCTTTCGGCTTTCAGCCAGCACAAGGTACTATTACCGCAAGACCGCAACACCGCACTTCTGGGCAGGTGAATCATACCGGCGCCAAGCAGTCGTCTGTACCACTACGACGCGAGTTTTTACTCTCTTTTTTTCTGAAGAATGAATGGTGGCGGTTTTGAGTGCCGCAGCGTTGGTGCTGGTATCAGATAGGATGATGGTTTGTTTGAAGATCCCGTGCCTCAGTTTGGTGTCCAGTAGCAATGTTGTGCTTGCCGAGCAGAACATCAACAAATATTCGGTAGTACTTTGTCGCATGTAAGCTCTTGTAATGTTGAGTAATGTATCATTCCGTTAGTATCACTCAAGTGTATGTTTAGCTGATGTGAGGTGAATACCATTCCCGTGTTCTGCTTATTTACACATGATCGAGAAGGTCGCTGTTGAACGTCCTTGCTCTAGAATTGTTGGCATAGGGATTAGTTATCAACTGCTCGGCATCCGGCTAGGGGCTCAACCTGAATGATAAGAGCAAAGTTTACTTTATGAGTCCACGTTGACAGGCCTGCCAATGGTTCATATTGCGCTTTTGATATTGCTTATTTGGTAAAGATTCCTTATTTGGCCTTGCTATACGTTGTGCCCCACTATCATATTGTTCGTGGCCGATCCAAGCGACGTCGCGCTGACGCAAGACTGTGATTTCGACACATGCTCCAACTTTGGGTTTGATTCACCAATATCAGGGCGAGCACCAGGGTGATACCGCGCGCGGCCCAGAACCCCGCGCACATCTCTCTCCCTCTCTCTCTCTCTCTCTCTCTCTCTCTCTCTCTCTCTCTCTCTCTCTCTCTCTCTCTCTCTCTCTCTCTCTCGCTTAGGCGACGCGCTAGCTGATTCACATTTATACCTATGCGTCACACAAACATGATCTGTTATAGGACGGGTTTTGATGATCGTTATCTTCCTCTATTCGCGTGCTTCATGTCTCTAGTCTTTTTTTCCTCCATCATATTTCGTCATTTTTTCTATATCTCAAACTGTTTGAAGAGAAACATCTACCCCTTGACCCCATCGTCTACAACGCATCCCGCGCCGTTTTTGCCTCCGTGACGTCAGCGAGTGTCCTTCGTCGGTCGGCGACCCGCGTGGCTGATTTGGCAGGTCTTGTTTATTTCCCGCGCCAGAATCTCGACGGCGGCGAGCCTGTGCGCCAAAAATGCCGTGACCTGGCCGAGAAAAGGGCGTTACTGGGCCACTGCCAGCTCGTGCTGCCATGACACCGTTCTGAAATGGATTTATCTAGGCGTTCGCACTTCGCATCTTTGTGAGCATGTGGCGACACAGTAAGGAAAATAAGTAGTTTGATGTGGATTGGAGATTGATGTCGATTGTGGACATTTATCTGTTAATGTGAAGAAGAATGATTGTGATACCATGGAAAGACAAGTTACGACTTCATAATATTTACGACGCTTGGGATGTCTCGCAATATGTCAGCAATCAGCATCCAATACTTTGCTGACACTCATGCCTATAAATACATGTATTAAAATTGTCATTTGCGTGTGCATTTACCCAAGGAGAATGGAAGGGCGAAATTGGTACTGAAGTTATCGAATTGGTCAACGTTCCCAGTCAATGCTGTTTCGACGTCAATACCAATGATAGGTACTAATATACGGATGGAATATATTTCGTTATGTGAAATGTACATTTATAGGCATGCCGTTAGGTCTTTGGTCAACTACTGATTTGTGGAATCACTTAGTGGTCGGTTTTGGAACAACTGATCTGTAAGACATGATCTTCATGGTATGAATGATTTCCAGGTACACACTTTGGTAGCTCACAAGCAATCACGTTCAGCGTTCATTTGGAGGGTGGCAGCATATATTGTTGAAAAACACCTGTCACAACATTAGCTAATTAAACAAGAAGTACCCAAGCGGGATCGCAGCGTAAGGTCACAGCCATACGATCACTTGTTATGTTTATGTGTGCCTGCAATACCCTGTTTCATCAGCTGAAGGTTCTGAGACGTGATTCGGAGGCGGGTCAGGGGGCCTGGCGACACCCAGGGGTCACGTGGGCATTACTCAGTGGCAGCGCGGCCGTCTGATAAACCGGGGGGCCCGGAGGGGAGGCGAGGCTGGCCTCTGCGGAGCACGCCACGCCTACCGGGTAACCACCACAGCTTCCTATAAGGTGGATGTGCCGCGGCGGTCAGCCAGTCTGGCACCAGCTGCAGCATGGAGCCGGTCGCCATCAGGGGCTCCAGAACGCCACCTTCGGCTCCGGCCCGCACCTCCAGCAAGTGGACGAGCACGGCTCAGAGCTGACATCTGACCTGACATCTGACCTGACATCTGACCTGACCTGACATCTGTCAGCTGACAACTGTCGACACGGTCGCAAGGTGATCGCAGCCGCGTACTGACGGACGCAGCAGAATGTTGACGAATGATGAAGTTGTTCTCTGACAAACGCTGAACGACTTCAACAAACGCTGCCAGGTGTTTACGACTGCAATCGGACGGTTTCTGACACTGACCGGATCGAGACGGACGCAAACGGACGCTGACTTTCGAGCGAAGTCGCTACCGAACACCGACGCAGCTCTCGCAGCATCATGGGTGTCTTCTCTAAATGTTTTCTGCCGCCCAAGGCCGCCAGGTGAGTTTTAAGCTCGCTTAAACCGTCAACGTGTTTTTTTGTGAAGCATTCAGTCGCACTTAGCAGCAATCTAATCTAAAAGAATGTTTGTGTATCAATCATCCAGATCGGTTTCGCTGATATTAACGTAATCATGTCACAGGCCTCGGCTGTTGGTCCGATGTAATGCATTATTTGGTGAGCTATGCTATAGTTAAGCCGATCAACAATATCGTTACGTTAGCAATATACGATGGTTGAATAGAAAATAAAATCAATGTAATGTAGCGTAGTTCACTGTTTTATATATGTTTTAGATCTGCTTTAAAGTTTTAAGCACAATCTTTCTTCGTTTTTTAGTGTTTGATTTTTGACGTACATGGTTTTGGTTTCATATTGCTTCATGTACTTGACGTGGAACAGTAATACCCAATTGTTTGGAATGTTCCAATACACTGAACTGAACGCTTAAATAATTTAATGATTTTTTGAATAAATAATTGAAGCATCAAAATAAATCATTAAAATAAAGATATTGCTGGTGTTTCAATCTATTCGACTTTGGGGGCACACGAACCCATTTCGCTTGATGCTAACTTAGTGGTCATCGGCACTCCTTTCAGATTGCATATACTCAGGTTTTTCACCTGGTGCATTAGGCATTCATGTTGACATGCATCTAGGGGCCACCAGCCACCGTGTTGCGTTGTTGCGTACTACAACCAAACCGGTACACGGAATAATGAGTATCCTCTGTATGCTGAGGAGGTGTTTTGGAATGTGAAATGTGTGAATAAATAAATAAATGATGGCTCGGTTTCGTTTTTTCTGATGTCTTTGTTTTGCAGAGGTGCAAGTTAACCGGGTAGCCGGGACCTTTGTAGACCTTTCAATCTTCTATACATGTGCATGGTGTCATGCCGCACAGTGCATGTAACGTGAAAATATTGTTTTCGTATAATCGATGTTCATGTTGTAATATAAAGCGTATGAAGCAGGTTTATTACCTATAGTCAACACGTAAAGAAAAAGTTAACAATTTATTAACGCATCGTTAACGTTGTTTGATCCGTCGATTTTTACCTTTTCAAGTTTTTGTAGGGCGTGGGCTCCGGCTCTGTCAATCCGTCCATTCAAACATTCGAGATAAATTTATAAATAAAAAAATCCGGGGGTAGACGCTCGCGGTCTTTCTATAAATATATCATTTGGTGGTGGCTTCTCTCAGTACGGCGGAGTGTGTTAGGTTGTCGTGCCTCCCACAACTCACACCCGTCTCTTACGTTGTCGTTTCTCAAAAATCGCTCGACCGATTCTCACCCCAGTCGCTGGCCGCTGGCGGCATCGATTTTGACCACGCCTGCGCTCTGCTGCCCCGTCCCCCAGCCCCCACCCTCCCCTCCTCCCCCCACCCCACCCACCCCACCCCCATCCGCCGACGATGCGACCCAACCAGCGAGTCGGTGAGGCGTTCCCGCCGACTTGGAAATGAAACACACGAGCTGAATTGAACCCGAGGTGTCTGAAAAGGACGCATAGCGTAGCCGTTAGTCAGCTTTTCGCGAAACATGACCAAAAGCAAACACGTCGGGTCTTTCCAAACGTTTCATGGCTATTAAATCCTTGAAACATGTGCTCTTACTTATCATTCGCTCCTCTGCAACGTCTCAGATGACCCCGTGATGACCCAAACGTGACCTTTCCATGACCCTCTATAGTATATGTCCCTGCATTGCCCCTTGTGTGACCTTGAATGCCTTCGACTATAGTGCTGAAAGAGGCCTACCACTAGCCCTGCATTTATCACTGCATGATCCTTTATGACCCTACGCAGGACACCTATGTGACCTCTGCATTGACCCCTCATTCGCCTTGCTTTTCAGGGTCGATTTGATGGTGAACGGTGGCGAGGTGGTTTCTACAACGGTCGATATTATTCAGCGGAACCCTGTGCTCAACATGCTGTGGCAACACTCGCTGGCGGAGCCCGGCAAGCCTCTGCAGCTGAAGGATGACAAGAACGATGTAGTGACACTGCTCCGGTATGTAGATGCCGACGGACGAAATATCCGTGTTTGAGTGAGACCAGGCTGGGAGTGGGGGTCTGTACGCAAGTGTGAATATATCTTGGCATGTGAGTGTGTGTTGGTCCCAGGCCATCAGTGGGTTGGATTAAATGTATAAATTACACCACGGAAACGGTTTTGTGTGACGGCATTTGCTCATTAAGTTCTGGTGCTACCAAATCATTTTTCTGGCCCCGTGTCGCATCCTGTGCAAACGCCAGGCATGTAAAAGACTGAACAGCTTTCTCTCAAAGGCTTGGCGTTAATTCCGCTACATCTTTCTTTTTCCTGATGTCTTGGAAAGTAAAAAGAAAATAATGCATCAATGTAATGTTAAAACATATTTCTCTAAGATTGTCACTTAGATCATTTCGCCGAGTCCAGGGGCTCCCAATCGCCCTGGCGATGGGCCATTTGTGGCTCTCAAACCACCAAACTGGGCGTCTCCCTCCTCTGAAGTAATCAATAACTTGGAAAGAGGAGAGGAGGAGGTAGAGGGGTGGTCGAGACGTCGGGAGCCTTCGGAGAACGAGAGTGGAATGATCGATCTGTTTGTCTGAAGGGCAGGTAGAAAAGGCGGGAATGATAGACGTTTTTTGGTTGTCATTGAACAATATAACGAAAAAAATCACTCTTTCCTCTAAGCCATCAATACCATAAGATAGCTCAGAATGAATGAATGAATGAATGAATTACTGACTGAATGAAGGAAACAGTAGCCTTGAATTGTTTGCTAAAGCTATATTTGGCCGTTAATTATTGTCACTTGTCTCGGATACCTGATGGTGTTTTTACCCACCCCACCTCACGTCTGTTTTTACCCACCCCACCTCCCCGTCCCGTCTATCATACCCTCGCGTTCTGTCCCATTTCGTCCGCTGACCGTTCCGTTCTGCGCCGCTCAGCCATCTAGCCGGACAGCCGGTGGATCTCAGTAACCGCGAGCTGGCCGAGCTGATCAAGCTGTTCTGCAGCGTCCACCAGTACCAGTGCTACCGACTCCTCTCAGACATTCTGAGAGAAATGGAACGCTTCCAGAGGTACGAACAACACCGCACAACAATACAACAAAAACTACGACACTTACAGAGCGTCGTCCGCACAGCACTCTAATTTGACGTAGTTGTGGAGACGTAGAGACGTGACTGAGGGCGTTTCTAGGAGCCAAACGCTCCGGGTCACTGGCACGGAATATCACAAACAGGCTGAGAGCAGCCAAAGCTGGTCCGAAATTAGCCTTCAGTGATGATGAGCACTTTGAGTGAAGGGTGTCGGGGACGAGAGGCGTATAGGAGGGGCTCAGAGGTTCGGTGGTTTAATAACGAAGGACGACACTACGGGACGCAATTTGCTTGTAAAATGAAATAGGTACATTCTTTGAGTGGTTATTTTTTCTGCAATGTCAGCAATGGTTTTCAAGAGCAAAGTTAAGTTTCAAAAGTTTATTTTGGCTCTCGACATATGTTTAACATAACAGCATCTTCTTTGCCAAACATGTGTACCTATTGCGCATCAATGTTTAGTTTTAACCTGTATTATGACTACCATTGTTACTGTATCTCGCTCGAGCCAATAACCCATTCAAACCATCCCTAATAAGAACCCCACTTGTATCTTCCAGTCCGGAGTATCTGCTGCGTATCTACAAAGTTCTGCGGCCGCTGCCGGAGCTGCCGGAGATTGGCGACCCTGACGGCCCGAGTGCCCCTCCCGAGATCGACCTGCGAGACGTCGACCCGGAGCAGGACGATTTCGCTGCTCAGCTCACCCGCACCTACCAGCGCTGTCTGCAGGTCAGTGGCCGGGTCAATCACGGGTCATCCGTCCACTGGTCATTCGGGCATTATGTGTGAGATGAGTTGTTGAGCTGTTTGTGAGCATGTCTCGTAGGTGCCGTTTTAGTCGATGTGCATAGTTAAATGCACAAATGGCGTATAATATTATTACGTTTTTGTTTTATCAGAGTATACGTTCTTTATGAGAAACTCAGATAGTTTGAATGAACTCTAGGATCACATACTATTTTTTTTCACAACTCAGACGGCAGTTTACCATTGAGCTGTAAAAGTAGCCATGTTATGTGCAGTTACCACTTGTAAAGATTGTAAGGCATCAACAGTGACACCACGGTTCACCAGAAGCGTCACAAAACACGAATGCCGGAACGTAAACGTTGTGCTGATTCACATGTAGACTGCATTGGTGTGACCTATGACGTCGGCTCTGGGGCACTGCCTATGGCATTCCAATGCCCGGTTCCACTAGCAACTATGTTTATTTAGTTACCGGGCAAGTGGCCTTGATTAAGTTCGCACTGATCGGATGTTGTATGTAAATGTCGTGGTGATGTTAAACACGTCTTGTCAGTTTATCTCGACAACGGTGGGCCTCCCAGTCATTCCCGTAACCCGGGACTCAAAGCTGCTTCCCCGTAATAGTAGAAAAATGTAGGGTCGCATTGGGAGTTGTTGTTTTTGGTCAACTTTTGGTTGTAAAAGTTTTGGTAGATAAATATTTTCTAGAATTTAATATGTGACGAATGAGCTTAGCAATTTAGCATTCCATGATACAATGAAAGATCATGCGACATGTACCCTTATCCCTCATCGCCTAGGCGTCTACACTTACTAATTACTATCGTGTCAGTTCCGGCCCGTTTCCACGAATTTCCTACGGCTCCCTCTTAGCGCAGTTCACACCTGTTTTATGACCTTTGCACTGTGCTGATGGCTGGGTGACCTGTTGATTTGTTGCTTTGACCAGTTGTATGTGAGCTTCTATGTGTGACATGCCGGGTGATTCCCATGCTATGTTGATCTGTGCTGTAATATTTTGTGCTGCGTGACGCGCCCTCTCACCCGAGTGACCTCGTCTCTGACCTCCTGTGTCCTGCCCTCTGACCCACCTGACCCGCCGTCTCACCCCCCCCCCCCCCCCTCCTCCCCAGGTGATCGACAGCCGCAGCTCGGAGGTGCTCAGCTCGGACGCGCTGCTCTCGCTACCCCTGGAGCTGCTGGAGGAGCTGATTCAGAGACCGACCCTGAAGGCCCGCGAGCTGGACATCGGCCGCGGTCTGCTGCGCTGGCTGCGTCACCACCGCTTCAACTCGCCGACGGGCAGGTCGGACCCGGGCCGCGCGCTGGTGCTCGACTCGCTCCGCCTGCTCACCATGTCTCCCAAGGATCTGAAGAAGCTGGAGCTGGAGACGGAGAACATTCTGAGCCGGGAGGAGCTGGAGGCGGTGCTGCGACTGGCGCACCACGGCTCCGGTCCGCTGCCGCAGCAGCTGGAGGAGTACCGCTCCTACTGGCAGTGTCCCCGCGGCGGGTCTTCCCGCGATGGAGGAAAGGCCGGCAGAGGGCTCCTAAAGAGGCTGGTCGGACACACCAAGGGGAAGGGTCACGGCAGTCACAGAGGTCAGGACGTGACCGACTCGGCCGAAAGACGCGAGGCCATCCGGCAGAAGCGCAACCGAAGCGCCGATAAGTTCAAAATGGCGCTGGCCACCGGGGTCTCGTTTGTTTTCGATTGAGGGTATCGGCAGCGGGGCTTAGAGAGGCTTCAGGTGTGGCACGCCGTCCGAACGCGGGCTTTCTTGTTCTTTCAATCACGCTTGCTTCTCGGCTTCTGGAAGTTCAGAGTCAGAGCGCTGAATTTATATGCCACAAGAAGTGGCGGGATGTTTCGAAGCAGGTTGGGGGCTGCAATTGTATCTGCTTTATGGGGCGCAGAGAGAAACCTTGGCGCGTTTTGTCTAATTATCCAAGAAACTGATTTGCCAGACTGAGGGCCTATCCCAGAGTTTATGAGCTAATAAGTGTAAAAGAATACCAGTTAAGTAAGCTTAGATTATAAAGCTAGGAGCGCATTTGTGATAAGGTTGTATAAAGTATGTGTGCGTTTTTTGTAGCTTTCGAAAAGGCCCTACTAGTACCAAAAAGTTTTGCGAAGAGTTTCCTTTTTGCGCTTTATGTTAAAGCTGTCTTATCTCTGAATACCCTTAGAAACGGTTCTATGAAAATACTTTATCTACACTACCTGTTACTTTTTAGAAATAGTATGTATGCCTTTTTAATTCTCATTCGTTTATTCATAGGCAATGCCTCTGTATTATATTATAGGTTCCCGAATTCATTTGGTTTTGCATTGCACATAGAAAATCTGTTTAATTTTTTCATCAACTTCTGTCATCTCATGTCATTGCTTCATTCAAAACAGCGGGATCTTCTTTTTTCTTTCTGTTTTGCCTATATCCATAATGATATCGAAATAATACTCCCTACTTTGAATGGCAAAGTAACGATAAGCAGCTTGGAGAGCAAGCAGCATAGCAGTATGCTTCTTGATGTCCTGTGCATTATTCAATGCGCATGAAGCTACAAAGCTGTCATTCTTGTCAAATGCCAACTCACTTGTTACATAGTTTTAAAACAAGTTCTGGACATAAGGTCCAACGTAACCCACCGAATTAAAATGCTCTATCGAGTTCTAACGTTACTGGAAGAAAAAGAAAAATTCAAAACGTATCTCCAGAGAAAATACCTGTCGTTGAGCTTAGGTAGTCTTCGCTCTAAAAGAAACAGCGTTAAAGCTGTCAATGCATTTGTTGAGTGTCCTGTTGCGTGTATTGTTGTTGGTTATGTGTTGTTATTTTGTGAGACCCGGCGACCACTGTCATCGCTTTCGCTTTTCAACTAAAAGGCGCGCCAAGGCCTTGCTGCTTTTGACGCTATGCCTGGCCGTGCAAAGTACCAACGTCTCTACTGTATGCCCGTTTGTGCGTGGTCCAAACTCGGAACGTTGATCAGTTTGGCTGTTGTTGTTGTTAAGCGATGCCTCGGTGGGCTGAAAGCCGGCAAACACATGGTATGGCATGTCGAATCTAGTCAGTTTCACATCATGCCAATGCGCTCGGCTGTGGCGAGTGAGTTCCTCAGTGCACGTGATTCGCTGGTTTTTAGCAGTCTGTCACCCTATTTTGTTTTCCCTCTGAATTCATTGCACCCATGTTCGTCATATTTCAAGCCTTTATTTCTTGTTTAGCTTGCATGTCTTCATTTTCACAGTAGTGTTAAGTTTTTGGCTATCCACCTCTTTTGTGTCAATTGCTTCAAACATTAGTCACCTTCTTCTATAATCAATCCATAGCGCTTTGCCCTCGCTGGGCGCGAATTGTTGTCCTAGTCGTGTTGATATTCGAACTGTGTGATTACATAGGGGCGCGCTGTTAGCTGTAGGTATAAATGCGTGTATGTTTGTATGGCTTGGCCACAAATGTTGCCCTTTGGGGTGAGTCCGGCGCAGAAAGTCTGCTCTGTCGAAGCTAGTCAGATCACATCATGACTTTCAGCATCGCGCCGCCAAATGTTGTTGTTGTCTTTGCTCTCGCCTTTCGCCGCGCTTTAGGGACAAAGAGCGAGTCAGGGTGGAGATGTGAGAAAAATGCTTATGTAGGTATAGCATTGTATTACGTTGTCAATAAAAAAGTGGACGATACTTGTGATTTAGCATGGTAGGTACATACATCCATATCACAGAACGGTCAGTTTGTTCGGGTAGCCAGAACAGTTATGTTCCTTGGTCAATTTTATACACTCACAGAAGCAATCATGGTTGAGCGGTGGTTGGGTCGTTTTGAATAAACGCGCAAACGGTCAACGGACATATAAATTGGCCACTATGTGCACACAAAAAGAAGAAAATTCGGGCTCCACACTTCTTGTAATTTGAACGTGATCAGTTCGTAGAAATAGTATCTAGAATGTACCTTCTTCTTGAAACAATATCTAAAGCCACACCCACACACAATGACGCTAATGGGCCATGGAAAAACATTAGGGGAGAGCGGGGAGAGTTGTATCATGTCCAAGTTGTATCAGGGCGAATTGTGCCAACCTTATCCAATAGATAGCGCTCGTGACACGACCAGCCGACGAGGTTTTCCGGGCGCCATCTTTCCCTGTTCTGTCGTGTGGCTTGGTGGACGCGTCTCGAGATGAGAGCCGATTTTATGTTTTTTTAAAGTCATTCTAAAAAAAATAAGTTGCAAGAAAATGTGTGTTTTGGGCATTTAGATGTGCACGAATTTGAAAGATCTTCGTAGCGGTGGTGAGGGTAGGTTCTAAGGCTGCGTGAGTAAAAATGGAGTTCTCCAGCTGTCCGCTGTTTTTGAGCACGAGCATGTTTTTTCCAAGATGGCGGCGAGGTACATGTTGTATCAGAGCCGGGTGGGGTATGTTGTAACATGTATGTATGTATGTATGTATGTATGTATGTATGGGTATGTTGCTTTTGATTGCGAAAGCTAAGCCATGGCTCGCGTTTGTAGGTAGCTAGTCAATACTCGTTCCATTTCGGCACAATGTGTTGGCTTCTTTGCTCTTAACCCTCGCCGGCACAGGCCATTTTGCGTCCTTCGACGGCACAAGGGGGGGGGGGGGGGGTTGGTACGACCCCCCCCTCGCGTTTGGCCCCTGATAGAGCTAGAGCTTCGCGGAAAAAACGAGCGTGTTGCCCGTCACGAGACGAAGCCGATGATACCCAATTTTAAGGTCCTAGGTCATCGGATGACCTTCCAGGTCAGGTCAATGACCCGAAAACCGGGAAAATCGGGACCTGTTAGAAAGTCGTAAAGTGTGGCTGCTATGTGGTTTTCCGGGGTGCTGATCACGAATATCGTGTTAGTTTTGATCAGAGATGATGTTTTTAAGCATTTAGACCAGGTCGGGTCAGGTCAGGTCAGGTCAACCGGTAGGGGTTGTGACGGGTATTCGTAATACGTGTCAACCGCCTCTGACAGCTTCGTAACATGTTACGAAGGCACCAAAACTACTTCGTAAATGTTCAAATGGTTGGTAAATTCGAATTCAGCTCCAAAAAGTAGCCTAGAAACATGTAAAACTCGAAAAAGTGAACCGAGGTCACCCGAGGTTACCAAAGGTCAATGACCTGACCTGACCTTCAGGTGACCTTGACACCCACCCTAATGTATGGGAGCAACATCAAATCACATGTTTGAACGTTTGAAACCACGAAAAGCTTGCAAACGCGCGGCTAATGCGAGCCGACATACGCCGAGTCGCGATTTCGGCCAAACATGGTCACGGAAAAGAGGTCACAGGTCAAAGGCCATTGGGGACAGGGTCATGAAATTTTCAGGGAACGTGTAAAATTGATCAATGCGAGGGTACTGAAAGTTTCGTTGCGATCGGCCGCTTTTTACGCGAGTTATTCGCGAAAAACCTTAGGGGGGTTGATGCAACCCCCCCCCCCCCCCTGTGCCGGCGAGGGTTAACGGGCCACTTTTGCGTCCTGTTGATGTTTCGTTCGTTTCGATGTTTCGTTCGGGTTGCATTGACCTAAGTTTGGTCTAATAAAAGTGAAGCCTTTGAGCATATCCATTGTATTAACCCCATTTAATGTTGTTGTTATGTTCAAAACCAGTAGCAAGCACACTCCCTGAAACGTGAAATACTTAGTGATACAAATTACCCCACCATGTGATACAACTCACCCAGGCCATGGGGCAAGTTGTGGGGCATTCCACGATAGATCGTACCAGGCCCGTCACCCTCATCTCTCAGATTTTAATGAAAATCGGTCCTAGGGGTAATCATAGGCCCCAAAGACGCCTGGCAAAATATCAGACTTCTCAGATCAAAACTTTTTGAGTTATATTGCATTACATTTTTTTTAACTTCGATATGTAACGGTGAGTTTGATGGCCTATAACTCAAGAACGGGTTAAGCAACCAACAAAAAGTAAACAACACTAAGCTTGCGATGAATCAAAAATTAATATTACCATTTAAAAATTCCAAAGAAAAAATTTCATTGTTGAGCAAGAACCTTAATCTTTTTTCATTTGCCTCTAATGACTTTTGGGACCAAAATTTTTCACATTTTTATTTTTTCAAAATAAACTTCATGTCAAAGCAATTCGACATGCAAAAAATTAGAAAGGTGTTCTTTCTATAAGTTCCTCATTTTCCCGCAAACAAACTGGGTTTCGGAGGGGTTGATACGACCCCAGCACGCCGTTTCGCTTCTAATAGAGCTAGAGCCTCGCGGAAAAAACGAGCGTGTGTGCCGTTACAAGTCGCAGCGATTGGTACCCGATTTTAAGGTCTCAGGTTAACCGGTAGCGTCTGAGGTCAGGTCACGTGACTGAAGTTACGGGTTCGGTTTTTAGTAAATAACTTCGCAAAAAAATGGCCGCAGAGCCGCAATTTTGGCATCATTGTGTTCGCCTAGCTCAGGTGCATCGAATGGTATACTTTTTGCTAGGGTGAGGTCAACTTAAGTAGTTGACCTCGGGTCAAGGTCAGGTCAGAGCCCTCAGGTCATGAAGCTGAGCAAAGGGTATCATATGGCATATCATTCGATTCGGAAGGTCTTCCCGAGTCCATTGGTGGCTTTCCCGACTCTCTAGCTCCATTTGATCGGGAGTTATTGACGAAAAACTCGTACGACCCTAGTAACGTCATAAATGACGTCACGCAAGGCTAACAATGCAAAAGTAAAGCATTGGACTTTGCAAGGAGTGCATGAAATCACGATACCATGTACGTAGGATAGTTTTAGATCATTCTCGGCACCAAAATAACAGTTTTTTTATATTTCCCCATTGATTTATAACAGTGATGTCACGTGACCGACCTTACCTCATGTAACCTTGAAAAATTCCCAGATATACAAGTTGTGAGACCTCTGGAGGACACCATGTATGCGTCCTGTAACTTTCATCTCGGACAGCTATGGTCATTGGCGTCCAAAACAATGTCAGAACCAAACAGCCTTTTTCACCCTCGCGCTTATAGGAAAGAGGGTTGGATGAACCCTCTTTTCACTTTTTTTCAGATGACTCAGACTTAGATTGAACTTTCAGTAACCCGTGATGTCACTATAGGCAGCTTTACCACGCCATTTGTAAACTCGCCTCCCGAAATCACTATTCGAAACCGTTATCGTGACGTAAAATAAATACATTTATAGAAAGAACACCTTCCTTATTTTTTGCATACTTCTTAACAATGAGCCAAATATTTTTTTAAAGAAATAAAAATTTAAAAAAAATTGGTCCCAAAGTCCAAAAAATACAAATGAAAGAAAACTCGATATGTCATCTATCAAAAATAGCGTATTTTTCGAAATTTCAAAAATACATATTAATCTCTGTTTCATTGCAAGTTCAATATTATATAACATTTGGCATTTGAATAATCCGTCTTAGAGTTACAGCCCGCCAAACTTAGCGCTGCAAAGCAAGATCCAAAAAATGTTATACACCATAACTAAAAAAATACTTATCTGATAAGCCTGAAATTGTTACAGGTGGATTGAGAGCCCCTGATTACCCCTGAGACCAATTCTCGTCAAATTCCGAGAGATGAGGGTGTCAAATTGGAAAAAAAGTGGTACGATCTATCGTGGAATGCCCCTTGTATCAAAAACATTGTTCTATTCGGCAGACCGTAGAAGAAAAACTGGTAGAGGTAGCGGAAAAGTTACTTTGCTCAAAAGAGCAGAAGAATCAAGGAAGGAGATAGTATGGAAATAATGAGTTTATCACGGATAGTTACGAGGTTATGGGTCTCGGAGTAAAAACTGATACAACCCACCCCACTCTCCCCGCTCCAGCAGCACATCTGCCTATATCTTTAGATCTTTAGAGTTTCGGAACAGTGAGGTTAGGGTGCACTGGCTTCATACTAGCATTGTTAGATTCGATGCAGACATCCTGCTTTTTTCGCTTTTTTTGCTTTTTGATCACGTCTGCAAGCAGACGTGATCTCCTTGCCAGTGCCAAGGCCAAGGCCAAGGCGCCACTCGCCAGAGCCAACTCATGCTCACTAGCCAACACATTCCCGCTCTGCTGTATTTAAGTGAGAACTTCATTTATGAAAAGCCTCTGAGGTATAATGACAATTGACAAAAAAGCTAGACGGCCTTTTACCTCGAAACAGTTTCTAAGCAAAATTGGGCTTGCTCAAGGGTTAAGAAATTGCTAGCTGCTTGCACCATCAAGAAGTAGCCAAATGACACGCTTCTGCGGCATTAATTGGTATACCTGCTGTGTTCGTTTCTAGGAGCAGCAGCTGCTGAGTGAGTGCTCTTCATGAACCTTTGTTTACATTTACGATCAAAGAAACTTCAAAGGCTCACAATGCTACAGTTTAAAGCAGGGGTCGGCAAATGGTGGGGCATGCCCCCTTTGGGGGTAATGGAGCCCCTCGGCGGGGGGTAATGGGGGCCTCTGAGAAAGCCTTATCTTAGAATTAATGTCTCCCTTGATGGGACAGACATCACGCCTGTTTGGTCTCAGGGTTCAAAGTCCCTTGATGGGACAGACATCACGCCTGTTTCATGTTTGGTCTCAGGGTTCAAAGATCGAACGCTGACCGTCGCCCCTCTATTGGCGTTTTCATAACAGCTAACGTAAACATTAGGATTATAAACGTAAATATTAGGATTATTAACGTAAACATTAGGCGGCA